ACATTAAAGGAGCTGGATTGCCTTGGAGGGATGGCTGAAGACAGACCATGACAAGGAAGACCAAGCCGAGCCTGGAACATGTTCTTGGGGTAGAGAGTGGGGTCAGAGGTCTGAAACAGTGGGTGTGTTGACAGCACTCAGGCCAGTCTGAAGGCTCTCCAGTGGCTAATGTGGGCCAATGAGACAAGCATTGACAGAGTAGAAATCTGTGACTCAATATGGACAGAAAATGAATCAGAAAATCATATCTGAGTCTTGTAGGACTCGTGGTGCCACACAAATGTGTCTTCCCACAGTTCTGGGAGGTGGCAGTACAGACAGTGCGTCGTAATGTCCACAGTTTGGAAATTGTTCGGGAGAACCTTCTTTCCACCTTCCACTTCTTGGTGGCTCCTGGTTTCCTTGTCTTGCACCCATGCCTGTCTTAACCTGTATTCTGGCCTCACATGGTCTCACTCTTTCAGTTCAGAAGACTGTTATTAGAGTCCATCTTGAATCCTGGGTGTGTTCATCTCAAATTCCTTATCACCACAAAGACACTTTTCAGGGTGGGTCATATCTGAATTGAGTGGTCATGAATTTTGAGTGAACACTTAACTTTAATACATAAATGACTAGGTAAGGTGGAAGAAGCCAGGGAAGACATCTTGAAGAAGATGTCACCTAGTCAGTGCAGAGATTATGTGGACTGAGTTGGGTGGAGCCAACACTTACTATTGAGGCTAAGAAAGAAGTGGACTGGTGAGTACTGAGTCTTAGTGATGGACTGAACAGGGGATGTGCATGCTCTCAATTCCATAGTTTTATTTATCTGCAAGGAGATAATAAATAACTAGACCAGAGAGAGCAGATATGACCTTCTCTAGGTGACCTGTTTCTAGGTGATATGTCTCCAGCTTGGGTGATGGACATCTAACCAAGGAAAAGAATTAGGTCATAAAGCAAGATTGGCAGGCTCAGGGAGGGTCCTATTGGGAACAACTGTGTTGTGTTATTAACAGTCAGTGTTGTGTAAGGTAGGGAGTT